CCATCCCATCCCTGAGTTGCAGATATACACCGCCGACCACCTTGGAACCACTACCGCCCTTCTTCTTCAACCAGAACAGGTGTCTGAAGAGGTTGAAGTGTGGGAGAATCCCCAGAAATGCCTCACAGAAATGGATAAAGACCGAGATGTGTAGTACGGTGTTTGGGTGAAGGTTGCATAGGCTAATCGCCCAAAACTCCAGTAGATATCTCAGGAAAGGGTGAACAGGAAACCCCAACCCTCGCTAGAAATAATCCTCAAATACTATAGCTTCATCAGTGTGAGGTGTCGGGAAGGGCTCACCGCTGGCTGGCCGCCATCTAGCGGTGACGCGATTTGCAAGAACGACCGTCGCTACCATTCCGTTGAGCTCTGCCTCCCCCATCTTCGATGGCACCCATTCTTCATCGTGGCTGGCTCCGGCGATCACTTTCCTCGGCTTCATAGCTCCCTTTTTGGCGCCATTCTCTCAGATCTGGATTGAGATTGGAGGCGGTTGCACGCGTCAATGCGGATCGGGAAGCGCAAGAGCTGAGAAAGAAGATGGCTGGGTGAAATGGTAAAGGTGGGGGCGTGGGGTGCGGCGGCGCAGTTATAAAGCACTCCGTCAATTGTTTCACAATTGAGGGTTTTTGGGGAACTGTTCCTGTGATCTACGCTGCTACAAATTCTCCGATGCAGCATATGGGTTGTTACCTGGGCTTCTATGCAACTACAACCCATGTCGCTCATTTATCGTCGCCGCCGTTTGTTGTGCGCCGAATAATCACCGACTTCTCCGCCATTTATTGAGGCTCAGTAACCGTTACTGTACAGCCATCTCTTCGGTTTTTTCTCCAAGGTTGAACTCCTCCGATATCACCGCTGACTGCTCGGGGGTTGGCTGCTTGCTCGGCTAGTTTTTTCACTATTTCTTTGTTTCTAACCCTGGCACCACGTGACTTCGTCACCTACTGTTAGGCTCGGGGACTAAGTGGGCACACTTCACCTTGCAGTGAATGTGCTTTTTGGGTCTACGCTCGGGGGTATCGGGTCACCGCTTTCGACCGGTTTTTCTATTCTTACGCTCTCCGACCCGGCACCACGTGACTTCACCACCTTCACTTGTGCTCGGGGACTAAGTGGGCACACTTCACCTCGCGGTGAATGTGCTTACTTTTTTCTGCAAGACTCCGCGCTCCTTGAGGCTAAAGAAGATTGTTTCTTGCTCTCATGGTCGGACTCTAAGTGGGCACACTTGGTCCACTACGAGGAAATTTTTGATTCTGAATTTGAGCTCCTTACACCCTTATGGCAAGCCGTGTTTGGATCACACTGCTCGGCTGTGGTCCGCGCTGCTCGGCAACTGCTCGACAACTCATTACGATGGTCGGATCATGAGTTTTACTGCTCGGCTTTGTTCGCACCTGCTCGGACAAGTGCAAAATGGCATTGCACAACGGGTACAAGGTGCTCGAGGACTAGTGGGGGTATGACCCCGGATACCCACGGCAGACCACATGGGATGCGCCCTCGAGGGCGGCCCAGCCCATAAGACAACGCCTTGCGGGGCACGACTCTGCTCGGTGGCTTCCGCAAGACATCTAGAGGATATCCTAAAGATACTACGAGATCTGTTAGGATATGTACGATCCTGAGATTCCTGTAATCAGTTATTACTTTCCAGTTATCTCTTAGATCTAACCGACTTGTAACCCTACTCCCCGGACTATATAAGGCGGGCAGGGACCCCCTCCAAACTCACACAATATCATACGATAGCTAATACAAACCAACAGACCACAGGAGTAGGGTATTACGTCATACTGACGGCCTAAATCTGTCTAACTCGTGTGTCTCTGTTGCCTTCTTATTCTTGATCTCGCGCTCCTCTGCCGATCAATCTACCTTAGTGGGATACCCCTCGGAGGACTGCCGATGATATTCTGTCGACAGCCCGCCTCCACTAGAGCGACGATATCGCTCAACCTGGCAGTGTCGTCCTCATCCTCGTCCCCATCATCGGCCAACACAATCAGAGATTGGATGGTGCGATCAGCTCGCGTTCTGTGCTCATATAACTTCTTTTCCTCATACCTTGCACGGGCCACCTTTGCGGCATGGTCCTCGTTGCATCTAATCCCTTCATGTATAAAATGCAACCAGTTAGCAATGCGATTATATTACATTTAAAATCAGGCAACGAAAATAAAAAGACTTTCAAGCACTCACTGGCACACAATGGAACAACATGGTCATTCAAGACCTGCATATGTACTCTTGTCTCCTCCCTTGCCTCCTTCCTTGCCCTCTCCTCCTCTAACGCCCTCCATCTCTCCAACCCCCATTTGTCAAGGCTAACATCGATCGGGTTACGAATACCGCGCTGTCTAGCAAACTCACGTATCTTTTTTGTGATGTTTAACGAATAGGTTGACGTAGTCAGGTCCATATCCCCTCTTCCGTGCAATTACTTGCCTCCCCTTTAGTTCATCCAAGAACTTAGCTTAATCATCATAACATTTCCACCTGTATTTCCTAGTGCTCTGTTCAAATGAAAAAATATATTATATATGTCTTAGCAAAAGAAATAAAATACGATTTCATGTTTACCACAAAAATAACCAACCTCATCATAGTCAACCATATGGCCGCAATAATAGCTTATTCCAAGCTCCGAAGGGACTAAACCATAGTTGGATTTAACACCACATTCGTACATGACTGGAGGTGCTTTTTAAATTAACCTTTCTTTCTTCTTTTCCTTTGCCTTTAGTGGCTCCGGCCATTGATTCTTAGGACCGTAGAGCCACTCATTGAAACGATACTTCGTAAATCCATAACGCTACAAGAGAATACATTAGTACACGCACACATATAGAGATAAACATTTAAACAGATACACTTTCCACTTACTTCGTGCTTGTTCGGACACATAAACTCCAATGTATTCTCAGGGTTTATCACAGCTCGATCTCCGCATTCTCACAGAGGAGGTTTCTCGAGTCGTCTAATTACGGCTAGGTGTTTCTCCTTAGCCGTCATTGGCAGGGGGGTACGGGGGTGGAACCCACCGCTCGAAGTGCTCACGTGGATGTCTCTCTCTACACCAATCGTTGAAAAGGAGGTACCTAGGGTCAAACTTGTCTGCACCGTTGATCTACTGAAAGAAAAAGCACCTCTCATGGGCCTACACAACAAGATTCCAATAAATATTAGTAGCCTACTTATACAAATGAAGAAAAAAGATAGTGGAAATAATTACTTACATTAAAACGACTGCATGTGTAGAAGCAACGCGCCGCTGTGTCTGGATGTCTCGATTGAAACACGTCGGCCGGGAAACCACAGTCACAGTTAGTGACAGGGAGGTCAGGAGGGACGGGGGCATCTTTGCTAGACGTGTCGGGGTATAATTCTCTAGGACGACCCGTTTTGTCAAAACTCCTCCCAATACATGTCTTGCATCTAACAAAACGGTTGTAATTTAACAAACAAAAATCAAAACATCACAAATTAATGTCAATGAGAACCATTTGCATTACAACAAATAGAATATAACCTACACTTTGGTGCAAACTCTATCTTAGATGTAAACATGCAAACGATATAAAAACTATATTTTGGTCACTAAAAAATAAAATTTGGCACATCAACAGTGTGTTCATATATTTATTCACGTATAAAAGTTGAGATGCAAACTCAAACAAGCAAAATTCATATAAAAATTGATCTTAGAATACATGGTAATCATAATTCTAATTAACCAATTAACCTTAACATTGGCAATCATAATCCTAATCCTTCAATCCAACGTTCTAACGAACTCATATTTTTCTCCATACCCTAACTACTCATTCAAATCCTTCGATCCACCGTGAAGGCTGAAGAGGAGCTTCATTACCTTAACAAGGCCGAGGAGGAGCTTCGGAGAAGGTAGGGAGGGGCCGGCAAGGGAGGGAAAGTCGACGGCCGGCCATGGGGGAGCCGGGAGGCAATGGCGCGGACGCCGTGAGCGGCCTCACCTCGAGTCGGGCAGACAGACGAAGGGAGGGAGCCAAAGCCGCAACAGGTAAGTAAAGTCTCATCGCGCCATGATGCACGGCGTGTCGGCCCCGCCACGGTCAGCGGTCGCCGAGGCCGTTGACCGCCCCATGCCGCGCCGCCATGCATGGTGCGGCAGCGTGAATTTGCCGCGCCATGCAAACGAGCACGTCTAAAAATGTTACTTTTGAAGAAAAAAACAATGTTAGAATTAAAAATAGTTTAAAAAGCGTGTTAAAAATAAAAAAAAAATCGCACGGGGCATGGCTGATGGTTCATTGGTTCTAGGCTGAAAATTTTTTATTCGTCGAGCAGATAGCGCCTGCCATGTCTACCTGTACCTGGATAGCTCCAAAGGTTTTTTTTCATATACTTCGTATATAAGAAGATGCCTCCAATTCACCATAAATTTCCAGAGCTTTCCTTGTTTTTGTCCTGTTGGAGAACCGGCCTTGGTTGGTTGCTGTCCACAGACCACAGCATTGTCTCTTGTCTGCAGAGCTTGCCATTCAGAGCCAACAATCCTAGGTGACACAGTGCTGCAATTTGCTCAACAGAAACAGCCACACACGAGAGGCCACACCCCCAGAATATTCTGCCGAGAGAATCCGGAATCCTCCTCCACGTACTACACGCATGGACAGCATGCTTCCGATGCAAAACACATGTATCTGCCATCCTTCGCCGGCGAAGTTCAGAAACAGCACCGTTGCAGCACAAAGAAAGATCTCCAAGTGACAGGTGAGGCATAAGGACACAAGTACTTGGACACATTCTCCTGAATCTTTGGAGGAACATGGCCACATTTCATCATGTAAAAAGTGTTACACACAGCAGCGTCCTGGATCAAACCCTGCACCATTAGCCAATTCAGTTGGGGGGTTTGTTCATCTGGGCTTTCTCTGCTGCAAGGATTAGTTCATATTTACAGGGTATTGTACAACAGCAGGTTAACATGGCGGTGACGGTGTCAGCTTCTAGGGGTGGTGACGAGGGCACCCTCCCCGCTCGTACATGCGCTGGATCTCCTCCCGGTACTCGGTCAGCGACTTGTGAGGGAGCGCAGGCGTCAGCTCTACCACGTCGCCCATGCTGAGCTTCCTATTTGGGTCGCTTATGGGCTTGTGGTTAACCCTCGGTCGCAGCTCCTCTTTCAGTGGGAAGCTGTAAGGGCTCCATCTCGGACTGTTGGCCCCGACTCGCTCCATTAGATCAACTACAGTCGAGTTCGCCGGGAGCTCTTGGACAGACATCTTGAGTTATCAGGTATAATTTTGTTAGACAATAAAAGTAACGATGGTTTTACCCACAAACTATTATGGCAGTTTTCAGTAAATAAGTTCAGATGAATTCACAAGATGGGGACCTACCTTGTCATGTTCAAGCATGATCACAAATACAGGACCTTCATGGTTGCACTGCCGGCTGTAAGAATAGGGGCAATCTTCCGAATGCAGGGGAAAAGGGCATGGTGGCCTCATGCCAACAGAGCTGCTCAAAGATGAGGGACGCTCTTTGCTCATTGCCTCGCATTGCCATGTGAGCACCCACCTTGCCCATTCCACCATTTGGAGCACAAAGGAGTGCCTGCAGCCACCTTCTTTGTACCTCCAGTGCGCAGCAAATCCATATTCAGCCTGTAGATGCATTTCCTTTGTTCGGATCTGGATTTCAAATGGATGGACACCCTCACACATGATGACAGTGTGCAACGACCGATACCTACAAATAGTAAATTAGCAACGATTTCAGTAGTCCTTTAAAAGACTATCAGGCTTTTATGATGCATACCCATTCAGCTTCGGATGAGAAATATAGTCTTTAAATCTTCCAGTGACTCGGGGCCACAGCTTGTGCACTATGTCAAGTGCTCGATAACAATCTTCCTCTGTATCAACCACAAGCCGTAGACCATGGATGTCATGGACATCATCCATTGTTAAGTTATTCCTGTAAGTAATCACAAGCACGGTTAAGAGCATGTATTCTGAATGCCTACTATACTGCCATTTTACTGAACTGCAGATAATGTAAACAAAAAGAAGACATACTTTATCATCTTGGAGTATATACTGTACAGACTCTTGTGCCTTCCAGAAAGACTGTGATATGAAATGCCTTATCTCTGAGGCCTTTATCCAAGTTATCAAGCGTAGATGTAAGAAGTGCTTCATCAAAAGACATCACAAGTTTAGAGGAAAGCTCCTTGTGCTCCTCTGGGTTCAAGTGTTTGAAGCAAATATTCTCCAACTGGTCTTTCCAGCTAGCAATTCCTAATCGGTTGGCCAATGGCACAAATATTTCCATAGTCTCTTTAGCAAACCTTTGTTGTTTAACCAAAGGCAAAGCTTCTATCGTCTTCATGTTGTGCAGACGACCTGCTAACTTTATAAGAACAGCTCGTGCATCAGCCATTGCAAGAAACATTGTATGCAGGCGATCAGCTTCAACAGTCCTACTTGCAGTATTGTTGTCCCGAGCAAGTTTGCTCAAATGGCTTAACTTCGAAACCTGAACAGATAATTATTTATTCTTGAGCTTGCAGTACCAACAACATGATTTTTATGAACAGGATGTTATCAAAACTATATAAAAAATTGTATTCATAAAGAAAAAGAAGTCAAAGATTGCTTTGATGGCTTTTATCCACTTTTGCGGCAAGGATAGCATATAAAAGAGGAAAAGAAATTTCTTTCAAATAGTTATCAAGAAAGAAGCAACTCCACATGTGCATTTTTCACTTCTGCAGATAATGGAGGCCAAAACAGTTGAGTTGTGGCTGGTCAAAGATGCTGACTAACTTTGGTGACCATTCCAAAGACAAACAAAAAAATGTTGAAGGGTGTATTTCTTGTCTCTGTTCTTGGCAGTGAGTTCAGGAAGTATGTCTAATTTCCGATGTTAGAACTAATATTATCAACAAAGCAATGGCTAAAGAATGGACTCACTGAACTTGGTAACTGAGAAACTTCATCGGCAGTTGATTGCTACTGCCTATATAGTTTATAAACAAATCAGTAGCTCAGAATAGAAGCTTCCACCGGTTGTGTCACTGAGGACTTTGTTTACTTAGTAGTAAGGATATCCATATGTTACGCAAAAAGAGCACATGGCCCATTGACTTCAAAAGTTAAACAGGTAATCTAGATAACTTGAAAAACTAGCAGCGTATCCAGCCAAAACCTTTAGTAAACTATGGGAGAAATTATCCAATTCCCATTTGAAATAATGATCAAGATAGAGTGAATAAAAAAGTGCCTACCCCTTCAACAAGATCGGCCACACCAGCACCGAACATCCTGAAGATATGATCATAGTCCATGAACGAATCATCAATTGTGTCATGGAGAAGGCCGGCAGACACAACGGTTGCGTTTGCACCAATATTGGCCAGATGAACCGCAGTCTCCACACAATGCTGCAAGTATGGATCATCACTAGCCCGCTTCTGATGCCACACAACCAATACACAAATCAGCATGAGGTTTAACAAAAGCACAAGATCAAGATGCTATGCAAATGAACAGAGAGAAGTGAAGATTGGGATTCCGTGAATCTTATTGGGGATCAACGTTTTACCTGGCCACGGTGTGCCCGCTCAGCCTCGAAGAACGCCTTGACGACAAGCTCGTCGCGGAAGATGCGGTGGCGAGCCTGGACGCGGGCGAGGAGTTCATGAGCACCAGGTTCGCATGACGGCTCCGCCTCAGAGAGGCTTTCGTCAAGCTCGAAGGCCAGCTCGGCGGCGTCGACACCAGTGGCCGCGGGGCGCACACCCAACGGCAAGCTGGTGACCGGCGCGAAGTCAATGCAGGAGCCAAGCGCGTTGCGCACGAAGCTGGAGAAGAGCCTGTCGCGCTCGCGGCCGGCGAGCCAGGAAACCGACGGGCTCCTGGACGCCGGCGAGGAGGCGGCAGGGCTGTGGAACAGCGACACCGGGCTGCGGTGGAGGTGGTCCCGCAGCTTGAACGGCGACGGCGACGACGACTGGGGGTACGAGTAGCCCCCGCCGCCGAAGCCCCCGGCGACGACGACGGGCGGCTCGTCGGATCTGTCGTGCCAGAGCGCGCCGAGCTCCTCGTGCGCCGTCGCCCGCGGGGCCGCGGACGGGGACGAGAACAGGCAGGACAGGCCACCCGCGACGGCCGCCGCGTGGCGGTGGGAGCTCGGCGCCGACGGGGACGCCGCGGCCGCGCACGGCGCCGAGCCGCGCGAGCTGGACTCGTGCTCCGGCGGCTCGTGGACGGCGGCGCCCGGTGGGCTGGTGTACACGGCTATCGCCGGCACGGACATGGTTGCCGGAAGCCGAGCAGCCTCTCAACCAACCACCACGAGCGAAGCGAAGCGAAGCGAAGCGAAGCGTACTCCAATCAGCGGCACCAAGCAGGAATAAACCAAACCCGCTGCTCTAATTGCGATCCTGGGGGCCTCAGACAATTGAATCCCACGAGCTCGGAGCTTCGGAATCAAGCAACCCCACTAATCCTGGGGTCGTCGTGTTGGAGAAGACAAAAAAAAAAAAAAGGGGTATTGAACCTGTATCGCTACCCAATGAATGGGTCATCCAAATCCGCAGCTTCTTCGTAATCCCACGTGGCTAACAAGACTCGTTATTAACTCGCTATAAACGCTAATAGCTTCTTCGTTAACTCCCTCCCTTCCAAATTAGATGTGTCACGGTGGTCGTCGACGCTAAAAAAAAGTATTCTCTATTTTCAATTATAAGTTGATTTGATTTTTATACATTTATTTTATTATATATTTAGACATGTGTTATATATTTAAATATATAGTAAAATCGATGTAGTAAAAAAACGACTTATCCTCTAGAATGGAGGGTCACATATGTCACTCTAAAATGCCATCATGTTTGAGCATCGAATGTAAGATCCATTAAGTTAAAAAACAACTACGCCATGTTCACTTATAAGTCGTACTTTTTCAACCATCGAATAATATTTTTCTCTCACGACAAATCAGTCAATAGTACTTTCAGTCATAACTTATCAGCCAAACGAACATGGCATAGCATACGGTTCTTTTTGTTTTCACTCTCTAAGGCCTTTTTTGTTTGTTTTCAAAATTAGAGGAATTCAAGGGGTTTTTAATTTGTAGGGGGTTTAATCTCCCTCAAACCCTCCCAATCACCTTAGTTTTGGAATCAAACCAACAGACCTTAAAAAGTAATCGAGGCGGTCAATATCTTTTATTCATGCGCCGCCGGCAGCAACATAAAAATCAATGTAGAAACCTTCTGCTTCTGTGAGGATACACTAAGTTAATGTATTTAAGTGCCATTCTCTTGACTAACTCAGCTTAAATAAATTAATTAACTTAGTAATTTCTAAAATACCATCTATATACTTCACGAGCACGAGACACAAGATGCCAGTTGCGTAATATACATTTATAGCCGTCACAACTCAAGACTCGATCTTAACACAAAATTACACAATCGTCCGAAACATATATTACAAATATTATTAAATTAAAAAGTTTAGGTGCACAAAACAAAATTGGGACTAGTAGCTAATCTAAATGTGATTTGTAAACTGAATGGTTATCCTATCATGTTTCACCCAAGTAGCTAAGTTGCAAACTAAAGTCTAACTAGTAACTAGTGGCCACCTTGTCCATGGACATTGCCATCATGATTTCATATGGCTCATGTTATTCACTCACTTTGCCAACTCTGATGGGATGACATAGCATCACCATAGTCCTTTAGGTACTTGTAAAACAACTTGGAGGCAGTATCGTGAGTACCATGATGGTACTTCGCAGGACTCACCTAAACAATATACGAAGGGTTATGCATTTGGCATTAGCAAGGTATAAGTTGTGTTGCATAAATAGTTTTTTGTGTATAAAGTAGATGTCGTCTATCAACTACATCTAAACATAACATAACTTTAAGCATTAGCATGAACATAAGCATAATGGTGAAGCTTGATCTTAAACGAGACCTTTAAATCGCACACACTACTCTCAAGTAGTATTCATAGAACGTGCTCATAACCGAGAGCGCAGTATTTGAATAGTAATCGCATTCAAGACTTTGCGGACATGTATAAGTTTTACTCACTCAAGAACAATGATACAACTCATTCGACCCATTCGTACAATCGTACGTGAGGAGTATCTCATGCTTCAACCTTTCTCATGCCTAGCCAAAATTGCCTATGAATGGTTTGAGATAGTCCAGGGATACCTCACATCTTAAGTTGCGCCAAATCCACAAGGTTATTTGACCGTAAACGCAATATTAAGCTTACCATCTCCATCCATGGCAACTGGTTGTACAAGATGGTGTTTAAGACATATTACAACAGATGCGATGGTCCTTAACTGTCACAACCCTGCCATGCATTCAAGTTTTGCATACGCATCATGATGACAATCTACATTTTAGTTTATATTTCAAAACTTGCATAGCAAAAGCTACATATTCTAAGCTAACGGCGTTTGATGGACAATTTGTGGAGTATTGACGGATAGTCCGTGACGATCAGACCGATCTATTCTTTAGCAAAGTACCCTAGTATAGTCGGACAGTCTGTCACTGCACGACAGACAATTCGTCAACACACAACCATGCATTGGTTATGAGGTGTCCAGCTCCTCTGTCTTGGCCCACCCATCAGCCCCGCATAGTCGCCTCCAGGCTCTAGCTCTCGGTGCCTCACCGGCCTCCGCACGGGTGGCGCTAACTGAACAGCGTGACCTAGTGTAGTTGTGGTCTACACTAAAGACGTATTTGGCTCTGATTTTGCTAAAGCTTGATAACTTGATAACTATGTTCATATTGGTTCCGTGAGAGAAGACGATAGATTCAATGGCCTAGAAAACCTCGTTGACCTCTGAATTAACCTAGTATAAATAAATAGACATAAAGTTTATGATTTGGTTTATTTGTTTCTCAAATTGATATTACTTCTATCAATGGCAACATACCATGCAAAAGGCTATCAATCATCTTATATCTTAACCCCTTCATAACTTTTACCTACACACAGTATATATCTACGTACATAGCAAAAATTACGTATCTGAAAAAGTCAAAACATCTCATAATTTAGAATGGTGATAGTATTTATATACCCAATTGTGGGGCAATTTTTATGGTCTTTTACTAAATTGCTAAATACTACATCCGTTCTAAATTATAAGACGTTTTGGCTTAGCATGTATGTAGACATAGTATATATCTATGTGCATAGCAAAAGCTACGTATCTAAAAAGCCAAAACGTTTTATAATTTTGAATGAATTGAGTAGTTTTTAGCTGTTTGGATATGAAGGTTTTGATCTGGAATGCTGATGCATAAAAAACATATATCCACTGCTGGCTACGAGCCTACGACCCAGAAATCATCACAAGGAAAAAACGCAAGCCCACCAACTCGCGCTCCGTGCATGACTGGGCGAACCGGCCGGCCGCTGGTCCTGATCACCGTCGAGTCGAGCCTTCTCGTCGCTGCAGCTTCTTCTCAAGGCTTCGCTTGCGTTGCGTCATCGTGTATTTTAACTCGCGGTAGAGGTTTCGGCACGCAGAGCGGCATCGCTATCGCCGGACTCGGAACTCGGAAGTCCTCGACGTGTGGACTGTGGAGTGGAGGTGCTGGGTTGTTTATCTGGCAGTTGCCATCGCCTGGATAGCTAGCGTGTATTATTAGGGCAGGGCACGACCGATAAGTGGCCAGCAAACTTGCTACGTTCGTTGATTAAGCAAGGCCATATGGCCACTGACAGGTCCACTGCACTTTGGACGTGAAAATGTCGCTGGGACTCTGATTTTGGATACAAATTCCATAGGAGGAATATCATGTTCAGGTGCGCCTGTCCTTGTTTACTCGAGGTCTCAGCATCTCAGCTCTCGTAACAACAGTTTGTCAGGAGGTCTAAATCTCAGTACCATATTGTTCAGCAAATTACTACGACATTCAGAACTTATCAGATGACCCCCACTTGTACCATAAATAATGGTGATACTGATACAAGGAATGAGAGGACGAACCTAGCAACAATCAACGTATCAACAACCACGTCACATGGATCAGCAATGCATAATGCTCTGTTTGTGTTTGGTATAACTGAGTTCTCAAAGGACTGGATGCTGCAAAAAGCCTCGCCCACCACAGGCAATCCTTCCAAACTATCAATCCAGTTTCCCAATTAACAATTGGCATACAAAGGTAACAGTAAGCAAATACAACAGTTACTTACACTTTGGGGAAAAAAAAAAGACCGTGTATTTTCTACAACAAAACCCGCTCCCGAAACAACGTGCTGCTGCTCAGTGTTTCCTACCAACAGCATAAAACCTCTGCAGTAACGCCTAACAAAGTAGTACTCCGTGGTCGTTACTGTATATAAGAGCTTTTGCCCTAACATGTTTGATGTGCCTCTTCGCGCATTCAACTACAGGCTATAGCTGGGCTGCGAGGATCTCATTCCATGTATCGGATACGCCAGGAAGGCACCAGTGCAAGCAATCTTGAACGCCCGGCGTGGCCTTGATACTATACCATGATATATGCCCTTCGTCCCTCAAACGTGACAGGGCAGTGACATCCAGAAGCTTGATCCTGGTACCCCTCACTGCACCCTCGGCGTCACCATCCTCGGAATGGTTGAGGTGAATGCCACTTCCCTTGGCCAAAGGGTTTGTGTTGTCACAGCTGCCTCCGGTGTTCCAATCCCCATTAAAGAAGTGCCGAGGCGATATTGACCTGTAGAACACCTTCAGCTGGGGGTGGTGAGGGAGCTGGGCATCCATCCACTTGACGATACTGTGGATGGTGAAATTTTTGGCCTTCCAGATGACAGCAATGTTCCTGTTGTTGTTTGGTGCTCCATCAAGATACATCTCCCACTTGTTCGCCCTTAGCTTCCCTCGGTTCCAATGGTGACCAGTGTTAAGAACCAGAACATGGAATCTGTGAAGGTTGTTCTTCAGAAAAGCAGGTGGTCGGTCAAGGTGCATGGCATAACTCGTTGCTCTATCTGCTGGATTCAGAGGCTCCAAATCACACAGTGTTGACGACCAATGGTATAAAATTGTTGTATTCGTGCTCGGGAACCGATAGGCCCAGCCGTCTGGTCTTTTTGCACCTGGTGCTAACACAAAGCCATACTCTGCACCAACATCTTCTACATCCGGCCTCTGCTTTCCACCAGTGACCATACACATCATTGATTGAAACATCTGCCTCCCTAAAGAATCACCCACATAAGCAATGGTTTTATCCTGCATTCTGAAATATATCCAAATTAGTATTTCCATATTGACCCAAAGATGTAGGCCAAACAGCGCAGCACAAACCATCTCCAAATTCATCAGATATTGACTAGAGTCATGTACCTTCTCAAGAACTGAGAAGCCTCAAACTCTGGCATCTCACAAGCTTCAGGCTGCCATCTAAACTTTTCATATGCAAAATCTGTTCGCTGGGTTAATCTGCAGGACCAACTCTCTGAAAGCCACTGTTTACAACCAAACCCTGAGTATAGTGGTCTCCGATTGTCAGAAACCCACTTTCCATTCCTATAATTACATTCTGTAGGATAGATGAAGCAAACATCAGATAGAAATTAAAGCCAGATAACCTGCGCGCTAGCTAAAGCACAAGTAAACTGAACAAGAAATAATCTTCTCGATTAACATACAAAGACCATATGAGGAATATGCCAACAGAGAAAACAAGCACATTTGTATGCTCACATAAGAAATAAATTCATGGTCTCTCTGGTAGTCACACAAGATCAGTATACCTTTCTTCTCAGGAGGTGGCACTTCATTTCCATCGGAAACATCAACAGAATAGCCTATCGTAGACAACGGTGGTGGTGCACCAGTAACTTGCCTTTCTACTTTACCTACTGACTGAGGCAATGGATCTGCACTTGGAAAGTCTTCTTCTGAGGATGTATGCTGATCTGCAAACTTCGAGTTAGCTGCAAAAGTTTGAAAGAAAATGAGAATGGAGGTAGATGCAATAAGAAGAAACTTAAGAGAGGTAAAGTCTCTGTGTGCTTAAGATGACCTGGATGAGTCAAAACCAATGGATCTGGTTGGAGGATTTCAGAATCGTAGTATGTGCCCTTCTCCCATTTCCAAAGAAGAAACAACATGAAAAATGCAAGAATGACAAGTTTAAGCTGCTTCAACCGCAAACCATTTATACTTCCAAGCCTCATCCTTTTATTGGTGTTCTGAAAATGTTCTTCACTTTAAAGTCGATGAGTGCTTAGGAACCATCCATACAAAAAAAATAGGGAAAATGTTGTAAACCTGTTTCAGAAAAGGTGAAGTTAGAGGTACAGTATATCCTTACACCAACGTATTCAGCAGAAATGTAAGCTATGTAAAAAAAAAGGGGGGGGGGATTGATTATATGCATCTCATTTTGAGTATTTACTAATTTTTCAGTTGCCAAAAATAAATAGCATCAAGTCTGCCTTGCAAGCTGCCAAATGGCTAGTAAAATCATGTACCAACACAAATACTACAGGGAAAGGCCATTTTGTGTGGTCTTTGTCAATAAGTGGCCCTTCCTACCACTTGCCTGATCACAAAGTGAAGGAACCTAGTTCACTTTCAACTTGAGAAGCAGAAGCTTTGATCCTTTACTAGTATCCGGAAAAGTTGAACCGAAAGTACATAGCATGTGAGAGGACTTTGGATCCATGGCATTCCAGAACAAAGAGATTAACAATTCGAATCAAGATAACCCGCAGCTTGAGGCCGTGGGTGCAGATCACATCATCCAATTAAACCCGCTACTAAACAAACGCTCCAAGATCACGAGTAGCAGCACAAAATCTCAAACAGGTAACAGTTGCAGCACCACCGCAGGAAATCAAAAAACTAGGTAAGCACTCGGTTCCATCTTAACAGCAACACAAATCCAACAAACTCGCCCATGGCCCACCCCCTAAAAATCCATTTGATTTGATCCAGCTCGGAGGAGCAAACACCGCAATCAAATGAAAGCACCTAAGTCAGATCACGACAGCCCGCGTCTGAATCCTAAATGTCGCGTCCCGAACCAAATCCAACGGGAAAGGGAGGGGAAAACGCGAGAATTGGGCTGCGGCCTTTACCCCGTAAGCTAGATTTACCATCACCGACTCTTAGAAATTACACACGGATAGGAAATTGTCCTTTCCCTCCGATTCCAATCCCTGGAAAATGCGGGCTTAAAAACCAATACAGCAGATAATTTCCTCCGCCAAGAGCGAGAGAGGGACTCACAGGGCTGCCTCTGGCTGCCGAACCGAGACTCCACCGCAAACGCTCGGCTGCCGAACCGAGAAAGGAAGGAGGAAAAAAATCATCAGCCCACCAATAAGAAACGACGGGGAATCTGAGGAGACGCTCCGTCCTGCCTGCCGTACCTCAGACTGGGGTTGCCTCTCCCCGCTAGATCGAGTATTCGAGTGGCTCCTTTCCGCGTCCGCCCGCGTCCGGCCTCCGGCCTCCTCCAGCGGCCGCTCGGGGTCGGGGACGAGGAACGCAATGAATGGGGAAGGGTGGGGCGACGGGCCACTGCCGTGCCGTCCGACGGGAGAGGCCGGTGGTACGGACTGAAGCAGTAACAGCGATTATATTCAATTCAATTGCAGGTGAGAGAGGTTAGGTTAAAGTTAAACCCGATGTGTGTGGGGCTTGCCGGTGCTCTCTCTTTGATTTGATCTGCTGCTAGGAGAGTAGTAAAACCAAAATTCCCATTACTTTTATCACAGAGAGAAAGTTAGGCTGTGTTTATTTCTCCCTATTAAATTTTAGTCTCTGCTACATTAGATATTTAGTCATATATATGGAGTATTAAATATAAATTAATTACAAGAAACTAAATACATGGATTGAGACTAATTTGTGAGACAAATTTTTAATTCTAATTAATCATTTGACAATATGGTGTAACAGTAAACCCTAGCTGTCGCGTCCTCGCCGGTCGCGCCTGCGGCTCTGCTCTGCTCTCCTCCGCGTTCCTTTCGCGCTGGTGCCGGTAGCTCCAGCGGCCATTGCATCCCAGGCCGGCCTTGGCGAGTGCAGGCCACCCTGCGTCAAGCCCCTCAGCGTGCGCGGCCCCTGTGTGCCGGTGCCGGCCGTCCGCGCTCGCCCAGGCGCTCCTCCAGTCGCGTGAGCCAGCCCCGGCAGCGCCTACCCCGGGGCAGCCATCTCCCTTCTCTTCTTCACTGCAAGGTCACAAATTCTCTAACCCTAACTTTCTCTGATCGGATTTGATACATGTACGTAGCAGAACTGTAGAAATTAGACGAGATTTCTCTGATCTAAAGATCATATAGGAATACATCTTTTCTCTGATTTGGTATAGATGTACCCATAGTGCTAGAGTGCTGTCTGATTCATGGAGAAGATCCCAAACAATGGGCTTATATCATCGAGGAAGTACCAACCTGGTGCGCTGCCGATTCCCTGTTAAGCATACAAATTGACCTGCTGATGAAGTGATGATAGAGCCCTGCTTTCCATTGTTCTGACATTTCCATGATGTTTCTTTGAATTGGAAGGGGGCATTCATTTGGACAATTTTAAGAGCATATACACCAAGTAGACGTGCTTCCTGGTAATTGTCGTACTGCCTATTTTCTTCTGATAGTATATGTCTATAGCGTCGAAGCTGACCTCAGCGTTGATACCCTTGCGTACCAGGTGATTTTGTTCCTATTTAGAGCATAAAAACTCATTTCAATGCATTGGTTCTAGGATTTGTGTCCACTTGATTGAGAATTAGTATACCACATTTGCACTACTTTGAATTGATGCCTTATACATCTATCTATCACTGTTACAGCTAATTCCTGAATTTTGAGAAGGGTGATCATTGCAGATCATGAGGCTTCTAATGTTGCAGAGATGGATCTGTGCATGCTGGTCGTAATCTCTTTATCCCTATCCTTCACGTAATGCTTTTCTTCCCCTTTTAGTTTCATACTCTAGATTGTATGTTCATTATTCGACATGTATATTATGGTGGTCTTTTGAAGCTAAACAATGTTGTCATAGATCTAAATTTTTCAGGTACAAAAATATTTCTAGACACACAACATTGATTGCTCTTTATCCAACTTTAAAAATACCGTAACCACATAACGCATACCATATATTTCTGTGCACTCTAATGGCTCTTTTGTATTTCCTACGCTCGAGTTCACAGTCTGAACTATATGTTATAGACAGATTCCTGTGAATTTGAAAGATCCGTTCATTACTATGCTATCCTGAACCTGAATTGATTGGTAAAATTTTATAATGGTCTAATTGAAACTTTGTTCTATAGACAATGCCACATGCTGTCTCTTATCTGTCCAGCTCTCAGACTTGATCCATAATGGTCATGAAGATGGACCGATAAGAGCCTCATGCATGGGGAAAATGGCTGCAGCTCTCAAAACTGGCTATCAAGCAATGAGAGGTAAACAGGAGCAGTCATTCTCTACATGCTAAGATTGTGATTTCATCTTTGCTAAAAAGCCTACAGATTCACATGGCATAACAATAGATTTTTTGTCTAACAAACATAGTGATTTGTTGCTCGCCGTGAGTGTATTTTATTTTTTCTGGAACGTATCTGCATTTTCTTATTGCATTGTCTTTACCTCGATTCAATGGACATGTGGTTGCCTGCTTAATTTTCTCTACAGGATCTGTACTGGATTACTAAGCGCCTTGTTTTTTTAGCCGGTTCCATGCATTTAGTTTTCACATAATTCATCAGGGCTAATTGATTGGTGTTCTCTTTAGTTTTCCTCAAAGATCAACTGCTGCTTTTTTTGTGTGGGGACCAAAGCCTTATTTTGACCACATTCAGTCATCTCTAGGGTGTCTGAAAAAAAACAAGCATCTACATTAGCCTGCGCGATGCCGAAGATAGTGGCCATGCCTTTGTTCCTATGTACTAGGTGAGGAGTAAGAAGCACAAGGGACTTGATTTATAGGTTAGTGACTTGCTTCATGCCTCGTTTGTGGTGAGTATTTTTTCAATGCATAGTGAACATATGGGAAGGGCGGGCCTGGTGCAAGCGGTAGAGTCTTACCGCCTGTGACCGGAAGGTCCCGGGTTCGAGTCGCGGTCTCCTCGCATTGCACAGGCAAGGGTAAGGCTTGCCACTAACACCCTTCCCCCCTCTGCACTGGGTACGCCCTTTATAGTGAACATACGACTAGGTTTAGAGAATTCACTCTCATGTTATTCTTAAACTTACTGATGATGAAATTACAGTTTTTGCGATTTAGTGACCATCTGCTACCTCAGAGACAGAGGGCATTGCAAAGCCTTTAAACTACCCCACTTCAAATTGATTTGGAACAGATTCTGTCATATTTTTTGGTTTCAGAAATCTTCGAAGTTTCCATTAACATTAACTCGAGTGTGCTCACAGTTACAGCAAAAGACATTCATACTGTCCTGTTTTGTTGTTAGCTTTAGTTTACTTATAATATCTTGCAACTTAGAACTACGTGTTCAGTTTTCCTACACCTGCTACATTTTATATCATCTACATGAACATACAGGTCAAATTGATAGCTTACAACTTACAAGGGTGACCCAATAATGAATCTGCTGCCACAGTGAGGTTGGCCTCCTATGAAAAGGAAGAAAAAAAAAGGATCTGGACGAGTACCTAGGTAATCGCTTGGTCATCTAGAGCTGCTGCTTTTTTGCATTGCTGTGACATCATTTTCCTGTCTATAATACCTCCATGATAAATTTAAGTTCCATAATTCAGTATTGCTTCTGGATAACATTGTGCCTAGAGCCTGTGTGAATTGATAGTTTCTGTTTCTGTAGGAACTGGACAGTAAAGCACATGAAGATACATCAATCTCATGTCTAAATGCAGGCTTGTTATCTGCCAATCCACGCAGGTATGGAAATTTCATTCTGTACCATATTTCAGTTATAGAGATTTACATGTGTCATTTCCAGATATTTTGTGAGGATTAGGTTTTGTACCATTTACCCCTTGCTCCCTTTGATTTTTGGCCAATTGGAAGATTGTTGTTGCGTTGCTGATGTCTGATGCCTCTTCATCATCTAGATGTTGCTGTTCAGATCAAAGTCTCGAAGCATCTAAACGTCAGTTTGGTTGGTGCTACACAAAAAAGGGAAATGCCAAACATGGATCTGCAAGGTTTGAATTATTAACCGTTCCTGTTTCGGTGAGAACCTTACTTTCATCCCACTGTTTCTGATTTTGAATTTCACTGTTTTTGCTGTGGCTGCTTGGCCTCGGTCCTTTCTGTGGACCACCTTTTTGTTGTGCTCATACATGTAGCTAACATTTATCTTTCATATGGCCTTCTCAGTTTGTACATCTCAAAAAACAATTGAGAGTGCTTCATATGGTCTCTTGCTTTCACCTGTTCTAATAGTAGCTTCTAAAAAGCGATCAGCTTAGCGATATAGGATCCTGCCTATGGTGCCTTTTAAAAGAATCACCTTATCAATTTAGGACGTCTGTGTGCTTCCTCCATCCCAAAACATAAGACGTTTTGGCATCTATAGATTCATAGCTTTTGCTATGTATCTAGACATAACATAATCTACGTGCGTACAAAAGCTATAGATCTAGAAAGCCAAAACATCTTATAATTTAAAACGGAGGAAGTATATGTAATACTTCATCCTGTATATAGTAATACTCATCCTTTGTTCTATGTGAGCTATTCCGAAGTTGTGAACCTGCTTGCAAAACCACATAGATTGTCTGCAAACAACAATGCTTCATAAGCCTGCATACTATAAAACATTATTCTTCACCAAATTAACAGTGTCATACCATGTGTTTGTTCCTGGTGCTCATCTAGGGGAACACAGCCTGACAATTTCATTGCCTGTCAGGATAGATACTTACTGCTTAATACCCATGTTAATATGCTTCCTGTGCTCGTCAAGGTACTGCCCCTCACATTCCATACGATTTGCTCGCTCCTAATTAGGATCATGTAAATTATCAAGACTGAGTACTAAAATGTCCTTCAGTGTAGCAATACCGCATCAAGTGTTCTCCTTAAGCAAGACAAACAAATGCTCTCTGTTTTCTCTTTGTGATAATTTCAGGGTTGAGAGTTCTTTAAGGTTAATCTGGATACTCCAGCTTCCTTGCCTGCCAGATCATTATTGTCTTGGTAAGCTTTGCTCATGCCTATGGTCATTCTCCTTCTCAAATTACTTTGACTACAGAGTTTATACCGATGACTACTTACCATATGTGCAAGTGTGGTGTGCAGGACGACCAAAGTGCAGGCACGGTGATGCAGCGGGTGCTGCGGCTGGACACGGCACTGCAGTCGCTGCACGGAATCCTCCTTCGATTCCTCTCTCTCGCGATTTTTGTAAGTGCTGTCAAAGAGGGGTTCCCTTGACCACCTGGGCTCCATTTCATCTAATTGTTTTTCAATTTATGCATCTGTACATTGATTTTGTTCTCATGGATGTGATCTATTGCCTGCCCTATCACTGCAGCAAGCAGGATGAGAATCGGCATACCTACAGATTTTGTTGCTACCCTGTTCATTTGGTGCTTTTTTTCCTACTTCAACGATTTAAGGTCTGTCTGCCTCTCAAAATTAACCTATCTGAAATCATTATAATATAGATTTTGAATATTTGAATGGTCTTTCAGAATATGAATACTCCATATTTTGCAAAGATGCAATACTATTCTTTTTTTGAATGATCAGTTGAGCTAATTTCAAACCCTACTTATTCTTTCTGAATATGGATACTTATATCTTGCAAGGATGAAAAAAGAGCATTTTATGTTCTGCCAACTTAGTCAGTGTGCTATTTCCAAGTATTTTCTGTGTTATCAAAGGTCCCATATTTCGCATTGGAAACCTGCACTGTTCCCTTCTACAGATCCTACATTACTCAGATATATATGTACCTAGAGTGTTATCTATTTCGTCAACTTTTCACTTTTTCAGGTTTACCTTCCTAGGTCATGTCAACAGGATGATAGTAAAGAAATTCAGAACTACCTGATACACTCTAGGAACATGAAAAAGGTTAGCCTTCGGGTTATTAATTAACTTGGTTTGTGTTTGTGCCTCCGAACAACCCAGTGCAAAGAGCTCCCGCTCTGTGCGGGGTCTGGGGAAGGGTGTCAGTGGCAAGCCTTACCCTCGCCTGTGCAATGCGAGGAGACCGCGACTCGAACCCAGGACCTTCCGGTCACAGACGGTAAGACTCTACCGCTTGCACCAACGATGACATAATATTGTTGTATGCTATATAACATTTGCATTTGAAAGATATATTTTGCCTTTTTTTATTTCATTATCTTTGATTCAGTTTTGTTATTGCCACAGTTCCTCTGTGTGCCTCAGAAATTTGTAGACTTGATACATGATGCTAGCTTCTACTGATTTTGAATGAAAAGGGTTGCAGCATGGACGGTGATAGAAATTTCATTTGTTCATGTAGGCTTCTCCAGGACTTTGACTTTTATCAGTTGCCTACAATCTCATATAACAATAATTGACCGCAAAAATCTTGATACTGAAGAAGTGATAGTAAAAATTTAGTGATGATGAAACAACGGTAGGTTTGTCCAGCTCTTTTCCCTTTATGGAATTATATGTGTGTTCGGTTTGCCTGGAATACAAAGAGGCCACCAGTGGCCACATGATGGCTTGGAGAAGTTGCATACTAAGTTACCTGATTTTTTGGTTCTACTCCTACCTCTTAGGATTTTGATCCTATTCTCTTATTGTTGTTTGCCGACAACATATTCCTCATGTTCTCAACTAATTCTGCTTATTTCCTCCTGATTGTGCAGGTCGCCGGGTACCTCAAGGGCTCATTTCTTGTTTACTGGACAGTTGATGTATTGTGGTACGACAGATCCTGCCTCTTATCCTGCCAACTCTTCAAACTATTAATGTGTTTGTCATTGGGCCAATGGAAATTCTTGGATGCTGCAAAACAGCTCTTATTTTCCTTTTCTTTTCATTACACAGGGTGTTTTATGTAAGATGTTTTCTACTATAATTGAATGGTATATTATGGGTCCGCAGGTTATATGATTATTACAGTTCATTCCAATTTAGTTAGGACTGTAAAATATGTTTGGCATAGTTCAGGCTTGCATATAATATCTTTGCTCACGTTACTTTTTTTTTTTTTTTTTTTTTTTTTTCGTCCCATGCTTTTTGGGACCAGGTAGATACTGCTATATCCATCCATGTTTTTTAGAACCACGTAGATACTGCTATACCCTTATGGTGAATATTTTATGAAATTTCTCCCCTATTATTCCTTAATTGATTGCCTTGCTCCTGCAGAGAGTGACAATATGGATCAAGATGACTGCTTCATTATTTTGCGAGATGGGCGAGGTTATATTTATCACATCACAAACGGCTGTGATTGCTTTGGCATCTCAGTCCTATGTACATGGCAACGGCCCTGGGAAACATGTATCAGTCCATTTAAAAACTTCGTCATGTCACTTCGTGTTTACTCATTATGTCGTTACTTCAGCTATGCTTAACCTTCTATGGCTGTGTAACGTTACCAAGTACGTGTTTGTTTGTCTACTTTGGTTGTTAGCTCAGTTGGTTGTACATCGGAAGATTCAATATATATTTTCAAATGTGAACTTACCTATACCTATGAACTTACTCATATTGCAGTGTATATATCTAGCATATTTTCTCCATCTTTACAATCTTTGCCCTGCCTATGCGCGCGCCCCTCACTAGTATCGAAGAATTCAGGAAATGAGTTGAGCCGTTGGGTGTACATTTGCTATCCGTTTGAAGCACGTGATTCCTGCCGGAGCGTGCTGATTAGCTGGGAAGTATCACTTATCCACGAGAAGGGAGCTACTCCTAGGCTCGGTGGGCGGTGGCCGATGGGTCCTTTCTTCTGTCGAGCCAAGCCGCTGCTGTGGAGCTGCCGAGCCGAGAAAACACACACGAATTTTGGGCTTATCAGCCCAACTAAACACACACACACACACACATAATTTTGGGCTCACTGGAAACAAGCAGGCCCACCTGTTCACATAGTCCAGTAGTATTTCCACTAAAAAAAAAAACATAGTCCAGTAGTATTGGGCAGGAAATTGCTTAGGAGTTACTAGGACACAGCCAAGGCAGGCAAGTAACTCCAGTGCTACTATGGTGATGCCAGTGCTACCGTGACGTGGCTCATTGGAAAGTGCAACATTCTACAGGAAAAAAATGTTTACGGACATATCTTATCATCATCATCTACTACTACCATGCCAAATTTAAGCTTAACAAAAACTTATGCAGAAGTTTAAAAAAAAGAAAAAAAAGAAAAATCAGCTTGTGATCAGTAGCAGTACACGGGTGCAGAGATGCCGACTGATCGGCAGCTTGACGCAGCAGCTGGTGCAGCACCTCTAGCTACTGCTCTTCGTAGAAGAAAACAAACAGCAGCGGCTGCTGTGCTGCAGAAGCATAGCCGAGCAGCTCAAAACTAGTACTGATACCAAATTGCTGTCCCCTTATTGAGTGTCAACGTGTTGTCCTTTCTACAAGCAGCGAACGGTCGATCCCGATTTCCCATGTTTTAGCAAAAAAACAAAAAAAAATGGTAGATCCGGATTGCATCGTTGGGATGTCGCTGTTTTCAGTTGCAATCATCTCAGCCTCTCCGGTCTCCACCCTGTACCGTGATTATTGCTGTCCGGGAACATGGAACGTCGATCATTGCCATTGCCACCCTTGCTCCAAATCCAGCAGAACAGAAGCTTCCTACGAAAATACTGGTATTCAGAAGCTGCGCCGTGCGAACGCACATGCAGGTCGGTGGTGCAAGCGTGCGGCCGTGCGGGTGCAGCTGTCATGAATCTGCAGTTTCTTTTTTTTTTATCAGGAAATCCCGTTTGCTGCCACCTGCCAGATTATGGGCACGTGTGACTGCTGGGAATCAGATCCTAGACAGCTGAACAGGGTTGTGTCCGGCTGGCAGACAGGCAGAGTGAGGGCGGTATGCTGCTGTGCTTTTCAATTGCAGAAGATGCTCTGTTGGTGGTGTATATAGGGAATGGCTCAAATATTTCGGTCAGTAGCCATAAATCAGAGTTCACTGTGGGATCTTGAATTTCTGTTGTTTTTTCCATATGGCAAGCATCCAAGTTACACGAGTATGAAACAGAATTGTCAGATACTAGATAGCTGCAAATGTACCTGCAAGATCAGCTCATCAGCAACTTGTGCAGACATCACACTTGCCTGACAGTAATGGTTGTTTCCTTCAGCTAAGAGCCTAAGAGAATGGTAATATCTGCGCGAGTTGTTATCTGAACATGTCGTCCAAGCAGTAAAATAATAGTGGCATCACTGTCAAACACGCTGCTTAATTTCTTAGCTACCTGATTTCCTCCTCCATCTTTCAATCCTGGCTTCACTTAATTTCACCTAACCGACAATCCGAATCACACCCCTCGGCAGGTTTTCAAATTTCCATAGCGCACGTCTGTTCACACGAGAAAAGAAAACCATGGGCCGTCGCGTATGCTCCGAGGAAACCGCGGCAAAAGCAAGGAGCCTTCAAGTTAACAAACAAAGCCGATCTTTTTGGCCATTTGGTCTGACTACTTCGGCAAGCTGGTAGTTTAAAACTTGTAATTTGATACGGCGACTTTCGCTTCGTGATGCTAGGTCTAGACATCCATTTTTTTAAGGGCACTGTGTGCAGTTGGTGACCAAATCGCTATTAAAGTGCGGTTCCGGTGATGACAAAACAAGAACATTGGGACACAGAACATTCCTCGGAGCTCCAAATGCCTCATTCTACTTTGTGTTACTGTTCACATGACGAAGCAAGGACCACTGAAATCTCCCATAGCTGACTTCGAAGAGCTTCTCTCTTTTTTCCCCAAAATTCCCGTGCTTCTTTTGTTTGAAAGAACTTTTCAAAGAACAAAAAAAAGACTGCATTTATGTTGATTTCAGATTCGTTCATATCTTGTCGAAGATCAGAGTTTGCTATCTCATCCCTCACATAAGCATGATGTTAGTATATATGGCCCTTGTAAACAGGCAACATGGTCTTACATGCCGAGTTGCTGACACTAAGGGCGCGTTTGTTTGCCAATATGAAATGGGCCACCGTGCCCTGGGGGTGCAACCTAAGGTGTTTGATTGCCTGGACAGGGTTGGGAGCCAGCCTCGCACGCTACGTAAAGCAGCCCTCGGCCTGGCTCCGGGGGAACGGATTTTTCGTTTCTCCCGAGCTCGGCCCGAGCGGGCGCGATGGAGCCAGAGGCGAGAGATTCCGTCACCTCCTCGCATGGTCGTCTTCTCCAGGCCGCCGTGAGGAAGCCACGGGCTCGGGCGCCGCCGCCGCTGGCGAGCAGGCCTCCGAGTCGGAGCTGTCGTGGATCGAGCGCGCGCTGGCGCATTGCCCTGCTCCGGGCGGCAGCCCTGCCCCAGCGCGGTGGCGAGCCCTCCCCGACGCGGCGGCAAGCCCTCCCCGGCGCGGTGAGCCCGCCCCAACCCGGCCCTGCCCCAGCACGGCCCCGGCGCGGCGGCCCGCCTCCACCTCGACGCAATTCTCTGATGCAAGGTCCCAGTACACTCTTGTCCAGTCAAACAAACACCTTCCCGTTCCCAGCCAGCCTCTACTTGGGCCAAGCAAACAAAAAGGCCTAGTTACACCCCTCGGAACTGCCTCCACCAGGCCAGGCTGGTCTGGTACCCACGGGCCACCCTAGTGCAGTGAAACAAACGCGCCCTACAAGTTCTTCGGTGATTACGTCATCTCGCCGTCCGTACTCCCATGTCCTCTTAACGAACCTCCCTGCTGTCAACTCACGGTTATAAGAAAGCAAGAAACTCTACTCGAAGACAAATCTTCTTTTTTTAAACTAATTCTGCTGGAAACATTTTTATTTTGTAGAAAGGCTAATGATCAACCAGTTGATTTGCCGGTTGTTATCGACCGTTTTTTGGGCCGTGCGATGCATCCCCCGCGCATGTGAGTATGCTGGCGCGTGCGTGTGTGCAATGTGTCACTGTGCGTTCGTCCGCTCGGCTTCAGCGTCAAGCAAGCAATCATGCCGTGCCTGACACATGAACGCGAGCACAGAACACCCTGCGACAATCTCTCCTCTCTCACCTCCTTGTGTGGATTTTTTTTAATTTCTGAAGAATTTGTGAATAATTTGATATATATTTCTCTGATGTCTGGAATTCATAGAAATAATTTGTATGTCTTTTTGAAAAAATTGACATATATTTGTGTTATTCCTAAATTACATCACTCTTTCCAATAAATTACGCTGAAGAAATCATTGTAAATATAGTAATAAGGCATTGTAAATATAGCTATAAGACAGTGTAAGTGTATGAGAAAAATTTGATTGATGGAAGGGGCTAAAACAACCGGTTGTTGACTAGACATTTCTTTATTTTGTGGTTAATTCTGTTCGAGACTTGAGCGGCAAGGAAAGACCTGCCTATTCTGCATCAGAATTATACGTGTCTTGCATGATCTCCCTGAACTTTTGGTAGATCTTTATGGATGTAGCAATAAAATGCTCGATTACATGTCTGCTATGACATGATTAAGAAATCTCGATTAGTACTTATCTTCGAGAATCACAATTTTAACGATTTACTTCGATTGCCTATTTGCATCGGTCCCTAAATTGTTCGTTTGCTTGATGTATAGGATACGACTAACTACATACTGGCATGCGCTTTCAATAAAAATTTAAAAAACTACTTAGACTTGTTTGGATTGGCTAGGGCAAGTTACTAGTTGAGATAAAAATTAGTACGAATTAGTTGGAGTTGGCCAGCAATTAATTGAAGGCTTGGCTAACTGGCCATGGTCCTGGCCAGCGACGCAAGCCCAAGGACACTGGCCTTGAACTCATGGCGCCACTCAATCTCGCCCTACGATAGGAGCCTGGTCTCCTGTGCGGCATCCAGCTCGTAGATGACCACCTGGGCCGCAGCTAGCTGCAACCTGATGTTACCGACGCTGGTTGCACGCCAGCTCCTCAGCGCCTTAGCCAGGGCACGTAGCTTCTGGTCCAAGCATCGATAAGCATCAACGTCGACAACTCGACA